AACTGTGAGAGAGATCTTTTTCCAAGTTGTCGCTGATAAAAAAATCGCCTTCGTTCAAACCTTCTGGATGACAAGTTGAACTCACTTGCTGTCATGTCAAATGAAAGTGACCTTCTCCACGATCTATCTTTCGAACAAACTTAAAAGGTTAAAACAGCGCAAAAAACGACAACTATATCTTATTTGCCAAAGCGTAGGCGTGAAAAATGCCATTTCAAAATAGGACTGTTTGCACTATACATGGCAGTTTCATGTGCACTTGTTCCGGGTGTCCTCTTTCAACCTCCGTGTTGCCAATAAACACTTAGCTGTGATCAAATAAACGTAAATCTTCGTTGTTTGTCTTTTGTTTGTTGCTCTTGTGATCACAATAAGCCTGCTTATAATCAACTGTGCTTTTTTGTTCAACTCATTACAAAGGGCGTCTGTCAGCACCGAGTTTATTTAGGGTCGCCCTTGCTTGTCGTATTTTCAACAAAGGCATTTTCAAATATATTTTGTAATTAGAGTTGGTAATTTTAATTTTTATTAAAGTAGCCACTTTATCGTGTTTGTACGGCCCTATGTATTGCATATATCAGGCATGATATTGTATAATAAAGTGTAGCTTTATAGGGCCGTCCAACCAACCTCTGGAGCCGCATAATCGCGAAATGTGTAGGTTCGCCAGTTTGTAACCGCTAAATCAGTGGTTCTCAACTGGGGTGACCCCCCGTCCCGCGACTCGCGGGACTGTCCCGCATTGAGGGCCCGTGTCCCGCGTCCCGCAAGAAATTCGAAAATCATCAAAATGTCCCGCATTTCATACTGTCGTAAAATTCACTCTGAAACTCATGGTGCTGCCGAACAACGGGGCACGGAGAAGCGCGGAGGTCGCTGGTAATCGTGTGAATCGCATGGGTACGCCATTTTCTATCCAAGCATTGCGGAAAGCGACCGTCGTTCTTGCAGTAGAACCGACGAGCTTGCTCCGTCGCCTCTCCACTTCGTGGAAAAATATTGTAAAAAAAATTGCTCGCCAAAATTTTAATTATAAGATACTGTAATTATTTTCATATCGCTGTGTCACAGCAAAAGGTTTTCCGTGGATTTCTTTTTTTTATTATTTTTTCGTGAAGGGAAAAAGCCTGCAACTCAGAATTCGAAAAAGAACATACTGTTAAAAATTTGTGTACACCCTAAAAAAAGCCCGTGCGTCTACTTTCACGCACAATACTCGGAGAGCCAATCAGCGCAACTTACGGAGGCAGTTCTGCGAATGACGATATCGAAACATATGTTTAGACCAAAAAAACGCAGTCTGAGTTGTGACATTATGCAATGCAAGCGTGACGTTTTGCATTGCTTAATGTCAAAACTCGTACTGCGTTTTTCGGTCTAAACATGTGTTTCAGCGTCGTCATTCACTGAGCTGCCTCCGTAACTCGCGGTGATTGGCTCTCCGAGTGTTGTGTGGGAAACTAGACGGACGGGCTTTTCTTCAGAGTTTAGCACCACGTGGGATAAAAGTAAGCGTTGACAGGAAACAATAACCAGAAGAAGATTTACGGTTTCTTATTTCCATTTGATGCATTGAGTTCTGCTTGAGTTGATTTTTATGTTTTCAATTTCGACACATTTAATAACACAGTTGGCATAAAAAAAGTATGTCACTGGGAGTAAAAATATTTGAGCTGCATTGCTGAGCCTGCAAAACAATTAGAAGGTGTATAAACAGCACAGGATATTAAATGTGTTAACAGAACCTCGGTTCGTGGTATGCGTGTTAATAAATTTCCTCTATCCCCCTCCCCCCCCTGCCGCTCCCACTGCCCCGCATTTCGCTTGCCTAAAGGTGGTCACCCTATTCTCAACCATGGACGTTTTGCGGACCCTTTGTGGATCCGCGGAGATGGTGGAGGACCCCGTTCGTGGTGAAGGAAAGGGAGAGGTATAGCCTTTAAGAAATTGATATAACTAAAGGCTAGTGTGAAGCAGACTTTTTTCATTGACATACACACGATAAAACTCACCGGAAAGTTAAAACGTTTCTTCTCAATCTAAAAAAAAAACAAAAAAACTCTTTTTTTTTTTTTTGCCGGGCTTTAACCGCTCGTTACTTAATGGGCAAATTTCGCTACACAAACCTGAGTTTCAGCAGTGCACGAGAGTATTCATTCTTTTGGAGGTTTATTATGAAGACTTAATGAAGGTTGTACGGCCCTTGAATATTTCCTTGAGAGCGCTGGAGATTTTTAATAAAATCCGGAAATATGACCGTTTTGACAGTTCTGAGTGCGTTTCGAGGCATTTTTGAAAATACAATTATTTAGAAGGCCAACGTGACAAAACGCTTACCCGTACGTACTAGGGGTACCCCTAAATTTAATTTTAAGACCACGACAAGAACACTAAATATTGTTGTATTTGTGTAAACAAAATCACCCTGTTAATTTTATTTCTAACGTGTTAAACGAGATGGCTACACTAGTACTAAATGCCTCAAACCTACACTCAAACCGGAGATTTTATTGTTGTTGCTGTTTTTCTCTCGAGCTCGAATTCGACTGCGATGTCTGGTTGCTCGGTTATCGGCAGCACGTGTAGCGAAAGCTCGCACTGTAAAGCCATCGTGGATTCAATCCCCCGCCCCCGCCCCTTTCAATCTGGATGAGCATCGGATCGGCGTGCTGTCATGTATCACTATTGCGTGATGCAAGTCAAGGTGGTATTGCACTGGCAAAATTTCTCACCTACAGCGAGTGACTCGTCGCAACTGTGAATTGACTGACCGACTACACGCTGTATAAATATCCACACAACCCCAATTATTACTTTTGCGTTTGTCTTCCAAGTAGCGTCAAGTGCGCCAGTGCACGAGGCCCGTGTATCGAGCGGTCTAGAGCCACTATTTAGCTTTGTGGCAGAGGCTGTGCGCGGTTCCATGCTAATTAAAGGAATTCACAATTAAACAAAAATAACTATATTAGATCAACTCGATTACAGAAATATGCTATTAGCCCCGAGAAGTTCGCGTGGCGCCCCCTTACGGCGAACCGGGGTGACGTCACGGCGAGGAGAGAATTTTTCCCCGACTCGGCCCGCTCGCCCTGTGGCCTTTCCGGCGCTAGCTGACGGCGCGCTCGTTTCTATTTAATTTTTTTTGGCGTGTTTTTCGTAGGAAGTGTAAATTTTTATATGAACCTTTATTGAGGTATGGCCTGTAGCTACAGGCGAAACTTCAACCAACATTTTAAGCATGGTTGACAGGGCAGGGAACGCATGAATCGCAGCTGGTATATGAAAATAATGAAATATGGCCACAATTGCAGGAGCATCACTATAGATTTACACCTCGCACAATAAATGCTGCTGATGGTCAAAATGAATTGGCAGGTTATGTATACTATTTTTTTTTTGTATCTGTTTTTAAACAAGATCGCCGAAGCAGAAAAGCAGCATGCTGCTCGAGCAACATGTTAAATACAGTCTGGGCCATCAAGAAAGAATCACAAGTAAGACAGCCCAAGTGCAGAAGAAAAGAAAAAAAAAAAAAAAGGAACATTTATTATATACATTGCTTGCATTTGACCTTTGCTGGATTCGGATAGTATTTCAATGAACTACACGGGTGGTATTTGTGGACTTGTTTATATCAACCCGCAAATAATGTATAACAAACGTAAGCGAAGGTGTCTAGCTCGTTATTAGCCCCTTAAGCCCTAAAATTGAGATTTTACTTAAATAGAATTGTCCTGAAGCTAAAATACCAGAAGCTTTTCTCACGCAGACTGCCGCCCTTCAGAGGTTCCACATTTTCTGCTGCTAGTGCCGCATCTACCACTGGGCAGACGTTCGAATGCTTGCTTTTACTCCTGTTTTCCTCTGATGTCAGAGAGTCCAGCTGTAGCGAGTTTGGAGGCTGAGGAAGCTTTTGGGGACCTGCAGCAGTGCCTCTTTTAATTGGAAATGACAATTCAGACTAAACGGTGCATTCTTGGAATAGGCTGGAATAAAGAATGTCAGGAAAAAGTATAAACATTCCATATTACGGCACTATTGCCGTGCATAGTTTGGCAGTTCAATATATATCATACAGACAACTGGGGGCGATTCGGCCGTTTTTGCTGCTACCATACAAACTAATTTCCAGTAATTGTGCAGCTTCTAAGAAATATGCCTGCATACGTGTATAAACTATATAATTAATTCGCGAAGAAGCTACATTTATGTAAAACAACCCTGTTCCACGAGCACTTCCAAGATCATCAGACGCATGGCCTTTAAAGCATCTGCGAACCAGCGCATGCAGAGTGGCAGCGCAGAGTCAGGGTCGCGAGCTAATTTGCCAACTACCCAAAGGCCCATGATATAAATGCCACTTCAAATGCCTTGAAAGCGGGATCTAATATCGTCTTAAATCATGAACGTGCAAGGAACAGAATTCCAGCGTCTGAAACGCTTGCGCCATCGCTTCACCGACCCCTCGCAAGATTGCCTTGTGTCGTGTGGACGGACGGGGAGGTTCATCGGCGGAATTGTCTCCGCCGAAAGCTTTCGAGATTTGTAACCCAATTTTAAAGGTAAAAGGGACAAGGAGGCTTATAAAATGTACGGAAGCACGTCAATACCGGCCTAACTCAACGTCTCGCACACCAGGTAAACGAAGTCCAGCTCCTCGAAGAGCTTGGGGCACACAACGCCAAACCAGGAAACCGGTGCTGGGAGGCGAGCCGATGCGAGATCGCGGAGCGGAGTACTCCCCCTGACGTCACAGTACACCTCACCCAATCCGGGCGCGGCGACCGCAGCGACGCTTGTGCTCGCTCTCGGGGTCACTGTTCAAGTCGACGTCGCCGCGATCTTGTCCGTTCGAGTTCCTTTGTTCGACTCTTCGCCCGTCCGGCGCTTTCCTCCTCCCGTCTTGCCCTCACCCCAGCCCCCATCGCCGCGCTCAGGCTGCTGGAGATGTCGGCTCGGGTCCCCCAGCGATGAGCAGAATTCGTTCACTGGGATAGTTCAAGGGGGAAGAGGAGCTGGACGGGACGCCGAAGTGTAACCCCACCAGGCAGGCGCACCAAACACGAACGCACGTGGTTGTCCCGACCCCGCTGAACTTGTTCTATCCGCCCCATGCTCCACATGAGCCGTGGCGTTTTGTTTTCATGGACGAGGACGAGATCCCCGTCCCGCAGGTCGTTCGTGCGTGTCTCTGTTGCCCGGTGTGCTGAGCGGAGCTGCAGGAGGTACTCCTTTTGCCACCTCCCCCAGAACTGATTCAGTAGTCTTTGTCGGTGCCGCCACCGTCTGGTGTCGTCCCCCCTCGTCGAAACTGGCACGTTCTCCACGCTGGTCGATGGGAGCGCCGTCAGCCAGCCGCCCCCCCCCCCCCCCCCCCCCCAAAAAAAAAAAAAAAAAAAAAAAAGTGCGCAGGCGTCAACGCCTCCTGCTCGTGTGGAGCGTCGTGAACGGGAGCCAGGGGTCGAGAATTTACGACGGCTTCAACTTCTTGTAGTATGGTCGTCATTTCTTCGAATCCAAACTTGTTCTTTCCGAGTATCACTCGTAGGCTCCGCTTCACTGTCTGTACCATCCTCTCCCAGAAACCGCCCCACCACGCTGCTCTTTCGGCAATAAACCTCCACTTGATACGATTTTGTGAGCAGTGGTCCAGGAAGTGTGGGTTCCTTAGCACGTCCCACATGCCGCACAAGTCCTTTGCTGCCCTTTTTAAGGTGAGGGCGTTGTCCGTGTACACGACTCTCGGTAGTCCCCGACGTGCAGTGAACCGCTGAAAGGCCATAATGAAGGCCTCGGTCGTCAGGTTGGAAACGAGTTCCAAGTGCACAGCTCGTGTAACGGCGCAGGTAAACAGAGCGATGTAGGCCTTTTGGTCCGACGGGGAAGCCTTCACTAGTAGTGGTCCAGCAAAGTCAATTCCCACCACCTCGAAGGGGGCGGCCCGGTCGCTCTTCCGGCAGCGGAGCGGTCGGTGCGGAGGCTGGCCTGTCTTGCTCGCCGGCAGGCGTTGCAACGGTTTATTATACTTTCCTGGCGAGCTGACGCACACGTGGTACCCAGTAGCGTTCACGTACTTCGTTTAAGGTATCTTGGACACCACCGTGCATCGTCCTTCGGTGCGCATCGTTCACAATAAGTTCAGTGAGGGGGTGAGATGGCGGTAATAAGTGCGGATGTCTGACTGTCACATCGGTCTGTGCATTCCGAAGCCTCCCACCGACCCTCACTCGTCCATCCGCATCCACAAAGGGCTTCAGTAACACGGTTTCGCTGTTCGTGCTTCGGGTTCCACCCGCGGTGCCCATTTCCGCTCTGTATGCTTCTTGAGCCTTCACAATCCAGTAATTCTCGGCTTGCTCGAGCTCCTCTGCAGTAAGTGGACCCCCAGCCCGTTCTCGCTTGTTTCGACTATTCTTGATGAAGCGAAACATCCAGGCGGTAACCCTGAGGGGTCTCATTATGCGACTGTAACTGCTCAGATTTAGGAGCTCCGGCCCCTTCACCTCCGCAGTGTGCAGCACGTGGTGTTCTTTCTTTCGTTCATCTTGCACCTCTGGGATGCTGTCGTAGAATACCTGACCCTTAGGCCAGTTGCAAGGTTCCGTTGAAAGCCACTCAGGCGTCAGGCCCTTGCCACCACTGTTCGCTTTCGATCAGTGTCTCGGCGCTAATTTCCCTCGTCAGCATGTCCGCTGGGTTCTGACTTCCAGGGCCCGTTTGCTCGAAGCACTAACCGCGGCTAAAGTTAGCCGCATGCCTAGGAGAGGGATTTTGAAATCACGTGACTGGCTCGGTAGGGATGCGTGGAAACATGGCGGCACCCCAGCGATTGAGCGCCGCTCGCTTTGGGAATAATATGTCGTTGTGGTTGCAATATCGGGCGCGTTAGTCAGCAACGAATGATGCAGGAAGCTTTCGCTTTGCCTTACCTCAATTAAACCGCAAAGCATGGGCAATGACATCGGCGCATTTTTAAGATAGTGTTTCGATTCTGGGCATTTCTAAGCCTAAATGAACGCGATAATTGTCGGCATGGCAACGTCCGACACGGCTGTCGGACTCCGTGTCGACGGCTCGAGAGGGCGCCACTAAAGCATGTTCTGGATAGGCTGTATGAAGCGGGCAGCCAGGGCGGCTCGCATTGCATTTGCTGCGCGATTAAACACTAATTCGGCGTGACACTTCATTGACCACAAACGACAGCAAACACGGGGTAAAGATCAGTTCAGAACGGGAGCCACTTCGCGCTGCTATTCGCCTCGAGATCGAACCGTGTCGCCACCGTGCGTCGTCTGCTACGGGCGCACGCTCAGAAGCATGGATCTCGACGACGCAAGCCCGTTTCAGGCTGAGCTTGACATTCCTTATTAAATGTTTTATGTTTTTGTTGCCGCTTCTTCTTACTAAAGGTTGTGTTGTATTGTTTCCAATGCGCAGAAATTCAGCAAAGCGATTATTATTAAGTCGGAATCTTCCATAATCTTAGTGTGTTGGTTTGTATGCAATCGCTGATCCCACGTATTTTTGTTATTTCACACAAACCGTGGCTTTCATAAAGGATTGAATGTTGAGTGGGTCTGCGGTTTGATTAGAAAATTAACCCGACTGATCGCTATCCTCTTATAGACTAATCAATCAATAAATCCGTATGTTGATTTTCTGCCGGTCATAGTGCGTGAAAGACGTTGAAACTACACATTGTTTTACTGGTTTTACTATGTCATAAATGGCATATTGCAGTCCCATTCTAAACTTCACGTTGTGAGTCCTACATAAATATGAACACGAGAAGCCTTTTAAAATGAAGTATTTTTTAAAGTTATTATTTAAACAGTATAATCACCCTCGGTAAAATGACAAGCACGCTGAAGTTGTTTACCGTGCAAGCCTATGTCACAAAATAAGTAAAGACGTCAAAAATATTAAAGCGGGCATTTCTTACGCCTTGTTGACTTTCGCCTGCGCAAGACTCCAATTAACCGGCGAAAGCAATTGCAATTAAAGCATTACTTGAATAATCTGAAAGTTAATCGATAAACTGCCCAGTCCCGATATACGTTAGGTGAGGGCGGAGGGTGATCGGAAAGTCTCGTGCAGGTCGCTAGCCCTCATCAGTAAAAGAGTATCACTGCGGCCGATGCTGTCTGTGTCGTGGTGCGCGTCGTTTGTTGGGGTTGCAGAGTCTACTGTGTTTAAATACAAGATTATTTAGCCAGAAAAATATAGTATTAGCCTTTTAACATCCGCGGCCCTCACCAAGAATATTGAAGTGGGTGAACCCACACTACCGTGAAAAGCATTTAATAACAGGAACACTGCTGCGTTGCTCGGTTACGCTCCTTTACTACAGTCACGGCAGATATATTAGAACAGTTTGTTTCACTTGTTTCAGTTGTCCTGCCAACTGTGCAGTTTGCAGATCTTAACTAGAAGAGACACACTCTCCTCATCGCAACGCAGTAGATTTGTTTAGACTCCAAAAACGTACCCACACTATGGCACACTAAATGGGCGGAGGAACTCAATAGCATGGTAATTTTAAATACAGCGCTAACTTATCTTTATTCTAAATATTTATATAACTGCAAAAACTAGAAGTTAAAAAAAAAAAACGCATAGAGGGTGCGATTTCCCAGCCCACAGTACCAGTATTATGTTATGTGGGTTGGCAATTTTTTTTTAATTCCCACGTGAATGAACCGATATATTCGTTTTAAAAGAAACAAATATTTAACATAAATGTTCCAGTTCAGCCGGAGACAGGCATCAGTCGTGGTGATCCATGCTTTCCAACGTCTGCCTAGAGCAGACGACGCACCCACAGAAGCGATTATATAAATTTAGGCCGCACGCTGGCAACACGATTCGATCTTCACTGAAGCACCGAACAGTACCGCATCCTTTTCCGCTAGAATTGTTTTCCCACCGATAGTATGTGACAAAATAAACGCAAGAATCTACGCCGTCTCCCGCGCGAACGTGAAGAGCCTATGGGGCGGCCCAGAGCGGCCGCTCTCCTATCCCCGCTTTGATGATGATGATAGCGCGATCGTAGCGCCACCTCTATACTCCGTTTCAAACATCGCGTGCAACGCTGGGAAAGCTACTGAAGTAGTGCGCATGAAAAAACACACAAAATTGTGTTACTCCGCGAGATTTCGTGGACGAGCGGTACAAGGCGCTGCTCCGGCGATGCCGGCGATGCCGACATCTCGGTGGCGGTAGTTCGAATCCACTTAGGGCGCAAAGGATTTTTTTTTTTTTTCCTCGACCGATTTTTTGTGCAAGATTGTGCGTATTGCGGAAGTGCATAATTCAATTCCTCTTTTCTTGTTGATTTTTATTTATAAGAAGGTAGACCAGGGGCTGGTGTTCCGCTCGAACTTGCGCCGGCCTCGTCAAAACGGAAGAACGGTCGAGATCCAGGGCGTTTCTATTTAAAGCCGTTTATTTACATGGTAGCGTAAAATCAGAGAGTACCTTGAGAGTGTGGTGGACGGTCCTTTATATAACGAATATTGTGATTAGGGGACCGCACTGCAGAATACTCGCCGGTGTATGGAAGAAGTCATCCAGACGGCAGTATCTCGGTGCTCTGGTGCCGGCGCCCCCATGAACCGGGAATGATTCACAATAGACGCGTACACAACACACGGCACTCGAGATCAGGATCGAGTGTTGTTTCCTTTTCGAGGAAAGCAGGGGCCTCGGAATACAGGCACGGGCATGTGGTGCCTCAGGCAGACGGAGCCGACCATGGTTACGGTCCCGCAGGCAGAAGAACCCAGACGCTTCGGAATGCAATCACGGGCACCGCCTGCGTTAAGGTCCCGCAAGCAGACGGAGCCGTAGGCACGATTCATCACCGACACAGTTCCTTCTTGAGGCTTGTTTCACTTTGAAGCCATAAGGCCGATTTCAACACCAGAAATAACAGGTGGCAGTTCACAACACTGTCCGCGTGCTCGGAACTTTCACGTTGCGAGGTCTTCGCTTCGGGGACGCCACCTTGCCAGACACTCCGGTGTCGTTACTGACCGTCTCAAGGACCTCACGGACCGACGTCTCCGGGAAACACGTTCTTGAACTCGCGTACACGTTGGCGATCACCTGCTTGCACTTTTGCGAGATCTTCACACAACGAATCTTCGAAAATATCCGAGCAGGAAAAGAAAGCTTCCCGCGTAAGACGCCATCTTCACGAAACCGGCGAGGCAGGGGCAGCCGCACAACCCGAAAACCCGAAGCGAGAGCGAGTGCCGCACGAACGAAAACAGAAAATAATTTGGAGTAGTTTACATTATCTTTTCCTTTTTATTGAAAAAGAATCGGTATTCCCTCGAAATCATAACGCCACTATTAGTTCCTAGCTACAAAAATGTACACTTTTCGACTTTTTTTTTTTTTTTTTTTTCAGTGGCCTCACTATTTTGTGGAGCGAACGTAGTCGGGGTCGGCTGTGCAAACCGGCACGCTAGCTTTGACTACGTTGCACGCTATGTTTGAAACGGAGTATAGGTCGATCTCGAGGCCAATACCGCCAAAGGGCCAAACTAGAGCCACTCGATATGGCAGCGTAGCTGCCAGAGTAGCGCCACGCTTTTCCCTGTGCCGCCTCTCACCGCGATTGGTCACACGCGGTACCATAGCAACGAGCTGAGCTGGCTCGGTTTCCGTAGCAACCGAGTGACGACTCGTC